GTAGCGGCCTGAATCCAGCGCCTTCCTGCTACTTTTATCAGGTCAGGCAAAAATATTAAGTAAGTCCATGAAATAATAAACAAAATTTGTACTTAATAGGTGGATGTCCCACGCTGCGCCTTCCGGTACGCGGCCTCCATTCCAGAACCTTGCTGCCTCATTGGCCGTCAGTTCTGCGTACTATGTGCCCTGCCCATTGCCACTTCAGCTTGCTAATCCGACAAGGTGGACCGACGACATCGTGAAGGTAGCAGGGAAGCGCTGGACGCAGGCCGCTACCAATCGATCAACGTGGAAAGCATTAGGGGAGGCCTATGTTCAGCAGTGGACGTCCTATGGCTGAAATGATGATGATGATATACTTAATAGACAGAAAACCATGCAGGCAAAGCCACGAGCTGAAATTAGTTATAGAAATACGTTATCTCTACTGCTTCAGACAATTTTAATTAACAGTTTGTAAGTTAACATCTCAGAAATGCTGCACAGTCCACAGTTGACTTAATTTTCTTACTTTAGAAGCATTCAAATTGAATCTAGATTTCGTATACGGAAATCTAGCGCTCTGTTCTAAATATGCAGCATTTCGCCTCTAAAACCAAAAACCTACCTATTTATTTTTTTACCCGACTGTGCCAGAAGGAAGGTTATTTATGTTTTAGCTACCAATGCCTAGCTCGCACTTAACATAAATCTTGTTTAATGCATTTCCTATTACGAGGTTTTATTAATTGAAAAAGAGGCTGACAAAGGTGACTGAGTCTCTTCCGCCACTTCTTCTCAGCACCAGCCCATGTTGTCCCGAAATGGTGGTAGAGCAAGCTTTAATTAGGACGTGTATAAGTAAGTGCCCTAGAGAGGGCCTAACTACATACTGAATTAAAGTTTTGATTTGATTTTGATTCGATACGTGTTAGAATCTTTCGTATACGAGCCAAGTCAAATCCTTCGACTCTTTTTATGTACCTATTCCCAGATCTATAACTGGCCACTTCGTAGATTTCCTTACATATTCCCAAAGATCTTTTACAATCAGTGCGTCCCATCAAAAATGTACCTATCTCCACGGACCCTGTACATCTAGCACGAAATACTCGACTTCGAATCGTTTGCGTATTCCACAAAATTCGATACGCAGCCTTCGAATTCAACGATAACGTGACAACGAAATTGTCAAAATTAATTTCGTGCTACCATTTCACATACTAAGTTCACATTACGTCACGTAGAGTGCGTTCACAGGGGCGCTGGTTTTCTTACTAAGGCTACCACCATACTTTACAACCGGTATTTTTGTATGAAATTTGACAGATTTTTAACGAAAGTGATTAAAGTAAGATGGCGAAACTCAACCTAATTCTTTTAATGGCAATTCGAATGCGCAAACAATTCGAAGTCGAAAGATTTTCGTGCTGTAGATACTGAACAAAGCGATTCCTTACATCCGATACAAAGTTTATAAGTTCGCCCGCCATGTTTTACTTATTTGAGATAAAAGAAAATGGACGAACAGATTAGCAAGTCTGAATCCGACATGAGACCGGTTATCGTAGTTTGTATTTGTTGGGAGCGTAGAAAAAGTGAATAAGGTAACTTTTTAATAAATCTTAGAATATTTATCCCCATATTAGAAACCTACAAAACGAAAGCAGTATAATATGTATTTTATTACTGTTTTATAAAGAAAGGCAAAAAGTTAGAGTCCCGTCCTGAAAAAAATACGACAAACTCTGATAAACTTTTTCAGAAATGATTTCGTCTATGAAATGTGTGTTTTTGTATGTTGGTATTTACCACTTTTGTGGCAAAAAATATTCTTAGAGCAAAGAAACTTTATATAAAGGACACCCATTACAACAACTAACTAGAATTTTATTTTAATTAATCTATTGCTACATAGAATTTATTTTTTATCTAAACCACATACACACAGCCCAAACCACTGGACGGATCGGGCTGAAATTTGGCATGCAGGTAGATGTTATGACGTAGGTATCCGCTAAGAAAGGAAATTACGAAACTCCATCCCTAAGGGGGTAAAACGGGATATGTCGCGGGCGGCGAAAGTTTGTGTGGATGTCTGGATGTTTGTTACTCTTTCACGCAAAAACTACTGAACGGATTTTAATGAAACTTTACAGTATAATTGTTGATAGCCCAGAATAACATACAGGCATATAAATTATATATGACGATCTGTGACAAACTAAATTTTACGCGGGTGAAGCCGCGGGAAAAAGCTAGTCGTAAATAAAACTAGACTGTTTATGATATTAGCCTACTTAAATACTTATTCTGTTAAATCCTATTTCACGTTTACCAAAATATGATTGAATCTGAATGATACGTCTCTCTCAGACGTGGTTTCAAATTATGTCTACGTACCCTCATTATCTTGCTTTGAAAACAGATATCCTATTAAGATGAAATTACATTAAGTTGTAATCATTTGAATGTCTACCTACAGAAATAGATAATATAGTTAAGACGTAGGATTTCACAACAGCTAATACTAATGGATTGGGTGTAAGTAGGTCATAGAATGTATTCACCCGCGTGAATTTTCTGTCTCAAAAAAACTATATCGCGCGCGTCCCTGTTTCAAAAACCAAAACAAAACCTATCCTATGTCCTTTCCCGGGACTTAAATCAAATCAAATTTCTTTATTAACTAAACTAGCTCTATACCAAATTTCATCAAAACCGGTTCAGTGGTTTAGGCGTGAAAGTGTAACAAACAGACAGTTACTTTCGCATTTATAATATTACTAGCTTTCCGCCCGCGGCTTCGCCCGCGTGGAATTTTGTCTGTCACAGAAAAACTTTATCGCGCGCGTCCCTGTTTCAAAAACCGGGATAAAAACTATCCTATGTTCTTTCCCGGGACTCAAACTATCTCTATGCCAAATTTCATCAAAATCGGTTGCGAGGTTTAAGCGGGAAAGCGTAACAGACAGACAGACAGACAGAGTTACTTTCGCATTTATAATATTAGTTGGGACTAGGGACTATGTAGTAGTGATAAAAAAACCTCCCCATTGCATCCCGTTTTAGAAACGGGCATTAGTTTATTCTGAGTTAACTAGATACTTAGTTATGTTTGTAAACCACCAAGCCAGACGGCTGCCAAACAAATTAAGTAGTACTCAAGTGCCTATTTGATCTTATAAAAAGATAAGTCATCTGAGCAGCCTCTCATAGCGGCTATGGAACTGTAGCCCGCCAAGAAAATTTGCCCGGGGCAGGCTTCTCAAAAGCTGTATAGTGAATGCTTATAGTACACACAATTTCAGTATTAGCCAGGCTGGTAGAGCTGGTTTTAAATCTTGAATAGACTCTTTTCTAGTTAAATCAATGGAGGACTGAGATGTTTAATTTTGTAAATCAAATTGAAACCAAAGTAACTAGGTAGGTTAGGTATTAGGTCCACGCTAATACATTTTAGGAATACATTGCTATGCATGAGTTAGGTACTATTAAAGAGTTGTTGATAATTTCATCATCATCATCATCATCATCTCAGCCATAGGACGTCCACTGCTGAACATAGGCCTCCCCCAATGCTTTCCATGTTGCCCGGTTGGTAGCGGCCTGCGTCCAGCGCCTTCCTTTATGGTGTCGTCGGTCCACCTTGTGCGTAGACGTCCCACACTGATAATTTACTTAGGTATGAATAAGTAGAGACTCATATTGAGCATTTTATTATACTATTTTTCCGTACATGCACACTTTAAAATGTTATCTGTCCTGTAACGTATTTTTAGGCGTTTATTTCCCATTTTATTTCGCTGATCGTTCCAATACAAATTTACCCTTTCCGATAATTGCTTCGGCAAACTAACCCGAATTCGTTAAATACTTAATTGAAAGCATTAATTAATAATGGATGATACAATTTTATTCGGTTGCCATTTCGACAACTATAACAAAATGAATTTCGGATAACAGTCTGTGACCTTTCTATTATTTATTAACGTTTACTCGTATGTCGCCACTCGAGAACTTTTCTGCCCCAACGGCCATCGTCTCTACGAGTATGTGCCCCGCCCACTGCCACTTGATTTTAGCAATTCTGTGAGCTATGTCGGTCGCTTTGGTTCTCCTACGGATCTCCTCATTTCTGATTCGATCACGCGGGGAAACTCAGAGCATAGCCCGCTCCATGACCCTTTGGGTGACCTTGAGCTTTCTTATGAGGCCCATATATCCGCCTCTGTGGTCTAGTGGTTAGACCACCTGCTTCAGACGCAGAGGTCCCGGGTTCGATTCCCAGTGGGGGCAGATTTTTCTGTTCGGTTTGGTTGGTGGTAGGGCTTGTTCTAAGTCCGCCTGGCTAGCTACCACCATCTTACCTAAGTCTGTCGCCATAACAACAATGTTAACAGCATTATTGTGTTCCGACAGTTAGAGGTAAGATAGCCAGTTCCTCCGTGGTTGAGGATTCCGGGTGAAGCTCGCTTCCACCTTCGGCCTGATCGTCACTTACCATCAGGTGAGATACAGGTCAAGAGCTTCCTCGTTGTGGATAAAAAAAAAAAAAAAAAAATGTTTCAGTCAGATCCATCATCACTGGCAACACACACTGGTCAAAGACTTTTGTCTTGAGACACTACGGTATTTAGGACGTGAGTACCTATATCGCGAAGCTTCCCGAACGCTGCCCAGCCGAGTTGGATTCGGCNGGGGATGTTGCCTGGGTCAAAAAGCAAGAGTTTTAATTAGTCCGTCAGTTAACTTATCAAAAAATACTCTACACGTATTTTTCACTTTTTCAAACTAATGAGAATTTAAAGAGATAAAGCGCCCCAAAGTTCATAAGAAGAGGCCCGTGACGTCAACGCTTGCTTAAAAATGCCGCACGTTGTGACGTCGTGCGCAACTTCAACGCACCATAACTATGTAATTATTTGTTAGATTGACAAATAAAAATATATGTGTCCAATATTTTTTGATATTAAACATTACGGACTAAAAAAATTTTTTTAGGCAACTAGCCTATTCATCCACGTTACCTCGAGAACAATGGCTAAATACGGCTTTCGATTGCCCTGTAAAACTGGGTCACCTTGAGGAAGTTGGCGTCCAGCTGTGAAGCGACGGCCCTGGCTAGTAGCGTCTTGCCGGTGCCGGGCGGCCCGTACAAGAGGCAGCCTTTGGGCGGCGTGATGCCGACGCGGACGAATAGCTCAGGATTGAGGAGCGGGAGCTCGATGACCTGCAAATATAAAGGTGCATTGTGAAACAATTGAAGGGTTGAGTGGACAAAGGTCTTAACTAACTAAATGAGTTATGAGTGTTTGAAAATGTTAATCTGCTCATACCACATTTGAATCCTGAAATGTATGACAGCTTGTCAGATAACACCTTTATTAAGGTTTGACACGTAACATAATTGCGTGTTTTGAGCTCATTAGTCGATTTTATCATCACTTCAAACGTATGTTCATGCAAAAAAGTCGATTCTTCAGTTTTGTCAGATAACACCTTTGTCCACTTACCCCTTCAATTGATCAATTAATTACTATGCGACAGGGTGGCACTGCTCAGTTTACTTTCTCTTCCATTGAATGTCTTATGTGTTACCTGTCTTTTGTGATGTCCATTGCAATAAAAGTTTCTTTCTTTCTAATTACTCACAGCTTGATACATAGGCCCGGTTTCTGAATTGATATTTCTAGCGTAAGCATGCTCATTTGTACTCAAGAATGAATTTAACATGTAAAGTTCATACTTGATTGAAAAGATGAGCACGCTCATGCATCGCCATTCAGACTAATACCACAGAATAATAATAAGTACTACGTACAGAAGTTTTACTTCGCGAAGGTATTTAAAAAAATGTATGCTCAATGTCATTAACAATATGGTGTAATTTAGCCTGTCTCAAGAGTCAAGCACCATTTTGTTGGCAAACGTCAGTGATCGGCACTGCGCTGAAGCTATAGTTCCAAAATACTGGACTGTCCTGTCGATGACATTGACAGTGGGGCGCCACCGTCTATACCGGATCGCTGGTTCAGATTTTTGCCATGTTGGAAACCATATAGTTGAACGATGGTAGCGCCCCCTTGTCATTGAGTTTGGTGGGACAGTTCAGCGTGGGTCATCTATATAGGGCTGACTTCGGTAAAATGATGTGACGTGAGGTGCCAAACTGCGGAAAATGGCGGAGGAAATACATGATTTAGCATGAATTATCATGAATAATATTTACTTATTTACCTCTCAGTGTCTTGAGGCAACTTAAAAAATTACATTCTGTGTTTTTATTATTATTTAGGCAGTTAAAACTGCACAGTATTTAGTAAACCATTTTCTTTATTTTCTTCCATCATACACAAGAATACGCGTGCGTGAGTCAATGTTCGCTCGTATGTGAGGCCTTGTCGAATAGTATCCTGTAGGTGGGCCATCGTGCGTGTTTTGTTTTCGATGTAAACTCGCGGAGATGAACAGGCCTGCTAATACTATCATCGCATTTTTGCTAACGCCCGTATTCACAATCGATGCTTGCTTAAGTGAAATAGCAAATCGGACGCACAGCGTTGAATAGAGCTCTGTGGTGTTCGTGTGTCACTCTGTTGTGAATATGGGCGTTAGTTACTCAATTCAATTTATTTTCTGCACCACACTGACAGAATACAGAGACCCTGCCATTTACAATATGTAGTAGACCAATCATAGGTATTGTATTTGAGAAAAGATTCATGCTTCAATACTCTTTCAGGTTCAATACAAATAGAAAGAAAGATACATTTATTACAATGGACATCACATATACAGGCAATTACATAGGCATGACAGTGGCACATGATAATGGAAGAAGAAAAAAATAAAAACAAGAGTAAACTGAGCAGTGCCACCCATCCACCAACAAGATGCCCACTGCAACGGGACCCCACTCAGCATATGCCGTGGCCCACGGTGACGAAGGCCACGGCGCTGGTTTTCAGTGTGCCCCATGCCGAGGGAGGGTCACGGACCGTTAAATAAAATAGTAAGCTGCATAAAATTGTCAAATAAGCCACTAACGCTGTGTATTAAATGGACAACTGAGACTGCTGTGTATACTATCTAGGAATAAAATTGACGCTCACCTCTCTAAGTTGTCGGATCTGTTCCTGCAGACCTCCGATGGCCGAGTATGTGACATCACCAGGGTCTTCGTGGCTCATGTTGTACACTAGAGGGTCAACCTATAAAAAGAAAAGTACATAATATAACATGAACATTTTTAAAAACCCACATTTCCTAGTCAGGGGGACACTTTTTACAATGAATATTGTACAGAAGACAAAGTAAGAGTGGCTTTTCAATATTTTTTTCAAAGATGCAATTATACAATCAGTAAGGATTTGACATTGTGTAAGTAAGAATATTTTAATCAGCATCATCGTTTCAGCCAAATGACGTCCACTGCTGGACAAAGGCCTCCCCCAAGGTTTTCCACAATGAACGGTCCTGCGCTGCCCGCATCCAGGCTCTTCCCGTGACCTTTATCAGCATCATATTGGAGACAAAAGGCAAGTTAGGCTAAGTTGCACCAGCTAACTTTGACAATGCAATAAAAAATTTGAATTTGAATTTGAAACCTGTGTTTTTGTATGGTGTTTGACAGATTTTTGACATTTGTTAAAGTCAAAGTAAGATGGTGCAACTCAGCCTTACATAGTGCTTGCCTCTCAGCCTTAGTGTTTTGCTGACATGAGGAAGAATATTTACACATCATTATAAGAAAGGACATTACCGTACTAAATGTCTATTAAAACAACAAGCATGTATTTATTAGTAAGGTTAAAATGTACCTCTCTCGGTAAATGCCGCATGATCGTCAGGGTAGTCATGTCGAGAGCCACCCTGGTGCCTCCCTTGAGCTTATTCTTGTCCAGTTGACGACGACACCCGACTACATAGCGAGGGCCGTTGGTTGCTTTGACGATAACTGGAAAATAATAAACATATTGTTTTAGGACATACATCATCACATCATTGTCATCATTTCAGCCACAGGACGTCCCGGTTGGTAGTGGCCTGTATCTAGCGCCTTCCTGCTACCTTTATGAGGTCGTCGTTCTAGTACGTGGCTTCTACTCCAGAACCTTGCTACCCCATCGGCCGTCACTTCTGCGTACTATGTGCCCTGCCCATTGCCACTACAGCATAATAATTCTTTGGGCTATGTCATATGATTGAATGAACTAAATGTTCAAACAGAAACAATCAATTTGTGACGCACAGGCAATCAATCTCAATTATTTTAGGTTATGGAGAAAGAATGTAAATGCAAAGACCAGTCATATTGAAATTATGAAGGTAAAGATAGTCAGATAGATAGATAGTCTTCTACTCATTGATTAGAACTGCCATAGCTGATAATATTCCTTTGTTTCACACATACATGGAACATTCTAGCCAATAGACACAAAATCACATTAATACCGCAGAGTGCGGCAACTTTCAATGACTAACGCCCGTATCCACCAACATTACTATGAGGTCTCACAGTGCACGTGGACTCACTGACCAATCATAGAGCTCTATTCAACACTGTGCGTTCAATTCGCTGCTTACTTAAGCAAGCATCGTTTGTGAATACAGGCATTAGTATGTTTTACTAAAAAACACTTACATTTCTCTTCAGTCAACTGCTTGAGCACCTCACCGACGATCTGACCCACACTCTGGAGAGCTTTGAGGTCGTTTTCACTCTTGTCGTACTGTTTTGTGAGGTCCTTCAGCTGCTCACGCACTGTGAATCAAAATAGGCATGATTTGGTCAATATTAGTAAAGTTATACCTATAATATTAATGTAGAATCAATCTATCTCAAATTGTGATACATAAAATTACATTAGGTATGTGGGCAACCTGTAAAAAGGTATATTTCTTGTGACTAATGATACAAAATGTTCATTGCTTTGTGCCAGCTGAAGTTAACCTAATTATAAAGATATTTTGCAATTAAATCTAAGTTATAGCTTGAATGGATCGATGTAGGAGTCAAACACTAGGAGAAATACATATAATTCGTCAATAACTGCAAAAATAAGCGCGATGATTCGGCATAAATGAAGACCAACACCACGAATACTTACTGTCTTTGAGCCGCGATTCAACTTCTTTGTGTTCCATCAACTTCTTTCGGTAATCCTGAAATGCTTTTTCTCTCAAAGGATCCATTGTAGACGTTCCAGCAGGCATTTTGAACGATTTTAATTAATTTTCTTTGAGTAACAAAAAGCGAAATTCACGTATCATTTGTTTGACAGCTACTTTGACAATTTACTTTTTAAATTTTGCTTGTAACGTTTCGTTCGGAAATTGGGTTACCTTTTTTTTACGATGAATCGAGTAAAAGGAAAGAGTCGATCCCACCAAAAACATTCTGTAAAAAACTAGCCAAGTCTCGATGGAGCTGCCTGTTTATCTCTAAAAAGTAATGAAATCTAGACAAAGTCGTGCCAAGTCTATGGTTCCTTACTGCGATTTCTTTATTCTTATTTATTGTTAATGTTGTGTGACTTGGCCGTTGAAAGATTTCATTACTTTTTAGAGATAAACAGGCAGCTCCATCGAGACTTGGCTAGTTTTTTACAGAATGTTTTTGGTGGGATTTCACTTCTTTTTGTAGAAAGTGGCATAATTATTTAACGTCGTCGTCTTTTCTTTTAATATTATCGACTTTTTTTTTATATTAAACACAAATAAACTCAACGACCTTTAAAATGGACAACGAATCAGAAATTGTTTTAATAATAGCGAACCTCACGATATAATAAACGAAATCAACGAAATTCAAATAATTACACAACATTCAACTTAATCGACTGGGTCTAGAAAGGAAAAATATCTTGACGCGGTGCAGAAAATCGACGCTCAAAGTGCTAGCGCCATCTAGCGGTGAGCAGTACAGGCGAACACCACGGTGCCGGTGTGGCGCTAGTAGTATTGATTATGAATGTGGTGTTACTCCAGATCTTCGATTTTCCTAGTTTTTATAGTTTTCCCTTTATGTGGCCATTAAACCCTAACCCTGTTCCAAATTTCAGCTCTCTGAGTTAATGGGAAGTACTACTTCTATTTTGATGATCATCAGTGAGTGAGTGAGTGTCATAAATGCGAAACTTTGCTTTCGCTTAACTTCGGAACTAAATGACCTACAGACTTGAAATTTTGGATTTTAAGTATGTGATTATAGCTTACTAGATGACGAAAATTTCTGCCTTCTGGTCTTATCCAAAGGTTCTCAAATAGAGACCTGAAAATGCGGCGAAATGGTTCCAGTAAAGGATGGTACGGCAGTGTTTGCTTCGCGCTCGACTTGGCGGGGGCACTGCCGTGCCCCCAGAATTGTACACCACAATCAATTATTAAAATTACTTGAGAAATTCAAATCCGTCTTACAAGAGCTAGGATTCTCATGTTGGTGATACCTACTGAGACGACGTTGTTTCTAATTTACTTCTTATTGTCTGACTTTAATTTTGGCTTACCAAGTCAAATGGATATCGCATACCCATTAAAAATACCGTGATGCTTCGTCATTCGCTATATGTGAGAAGGAACTGTGGAATTACGGACAAAGCTTCACTACCTACCACACCACAGTCCCTCTAGCCTCCCAGGGCGGGAGATGAGTGACTGGAGGGCTGGGCGCACACAGCTGATAATCCCGTCTGACCCATAACACCAGAAGGTCTGGTGCAATAGGATGTTGGGCTACTAATTTGATAGTTAAAAGGTACTAACTCATGCCACATGTCACGCCAATAGATGGTGTCAATCATAATAATAGGTATACTTAGTAACTTGTGGCAATGCAGGTGGGGCGCCCTAACGCTTCCTCCATCATTATAGGTAGGTACCTAACTCACCTGATTAACGCTTCACTAAAATATCCACCTACAAATATTAAGCCTAACTACAACCAAGAATATTACTTACACGAATTTCGCTAAACAAATAACCTAATACAAGAGAAATCTAAAACAAAGCAAAATGAGGAAAAATACGTGACGCCATATCGTAGGCGTTCGCGCCAAAATATTAAGCGCGTGCGTTATTTGCGAAGGACGTGACGAGCCGGAATCTTTATAAAAGAACCTACTCTGTAAATTATTTCTTTGCACATGTTTCTATTTTGTCTCATTCACACAAAAGTAGTTCTTACATCTAGTTTACGAAGAAAGAAAATCGCCAAAAAACCGCGCCAATGATTTTTCGGCAGGTTTAAAAATATGAAATCTTGACGAAAATGGTTCGTTTCAGCCAAATGACGTCCACCGCTGGACAAAGGCCTCCCCCAAGGCATTCCACAACGACCGGTCCTGCACTGCCCGTATCCAAGGTTCTTCCCGCGACCTTCACCAGATCGTCAATCCACCTAGTGGGAGGCTTGCCTACGCTAGTCCGGCCCGTGGTCGCCGAATCCAACTCGGCTGGGCAGCGTTCGGGAAGCTTCGCGATATAGGTACTCACGTCCTAAATACCGAGTGTCTCGAGACNCTTGTGTGCTCAAAAATAAAAAACGTCACGGGAATTAGGATTTTCCCTCGGACAAGCAGTTTTTTAATTCTAATTATTTACAGAATGGTTCTATTGAATAGATATTTTGCTATGCATAAGACAATCTTTTATACTCTTTAAAATGTTGAATGGAGTAAACCAAATCTTTACGACATAAAAATTACAGCCAACTTTTAACATTAAGTCGGTGTGCGGACGCGTAACGGTAATTAGAGAACAGAGGTTCATGAAATTAATTAAGTCACAAATACTTAAAATAGAGGCCTATGATTTAATGCACAACTGGATAGGGTTGTTAAGTAACATATAAAAATACTTGCATGTCTCTATTTTGTCCTTTTTAACGATTTATCAGCCCGGACACGCAAAAACTAGCTCATCTGAGAATGGCCGACTTTATCATCACCATCATTTCAGCCTTGTCTACTGCTGAACATAGGCCTCCCCCAATGACTCACATCGCACGGTTGGTAGCGGCCTGCATCCAGCGCCTTCCTGCTACTTTTATCAGGTCTCTAGCAAAAATATTAAGTAAATCCACGAAATAATTAACAAAATTTGTACTTAATAGGTGGACGACCCACGCTGCGCCTTCCGGTACGCGGCCTCCATTCCAGAACCTTGCTGCCCCATTGGCCGTCAGTTCTGCGTACTATGTGCCCTGCCCATTGCCACTTCAGCTTGCTAATCCGACAAGGTGACCGACGACATCGTGAAGGTAGCAGGAAGCGCTGGACGCAGGCCGCTACCAATCGATCAACGTGGAAAGCATTAGGGGAGGCCTATGTTCAGCAGTGGACGTCCTATGGCTGAAATGATGATGATGATGATGTACTTAATAGACAGAAAACCATGCAGGCAAAGCCACGAGCTGAAATTAGTTATTGAAATACGTTATCTCTACTGCTTCAGACAATTTTAATTAACAGTTTGTAAGTTAACTTCTCGGAAATGCTGCACAGTGCACAGTTGACTTAATTCTTACTTTAGAAGCATTCAAATTGAATCTAGATTTCGTATACGGAAATCTAGCGCTCTGTTCTAAATACTTATGCAGAATTTCGCCTCTAACCAAAAACCTACCTATTTTTTTTTACCCGAATGCGCCAGAAGGAGGGTTATTTATGTTGTAGCTACCAATGCCTAGCTCGCACTTAACATAAATCTTGTTTGCATTTCCTATACGAGTATTTATTAATTGAAAAAGAGGCAGACAAAGGTGACTGAGTTTCTTCCGCCACTTCTTCTCAGCACCAGCCCATATGTTGTCCCGAAATGGTAGTAGAGCAAGCTTTAATTGGGACGTGTATAAGTAAGTGCCCTAGAGAGGGCCTAACTACATACTGAATTAAAGTTTTGATTTGATTTTGATTCGATACGTGTTAGAATCTTTCGTATACGAGCCAAGTCAAATCCTTCGACTCTTTTTATGTACCTATTCCCAGATCTATAACTGGCCACTTCGTAGATTTCCTTACATATTCCCAAAGATCTTTCACAATCAGTGCGTCCCATCAAAAATGTACCTATCTCCACGGACCCTGTACCTCTAGCACAAAAAGCTTTCGACTTCGAATCGTTTGCGTGTTCGACAAAATTCGATACGCAGCCTTCGATTTCAAGGATGACACGAAGGACGAAATTGTCAAAATTAATTTCGTGCTACCATTTCTCATACTAAGTTCACTTTACGTCACGTAGAGGTACGTTCACTTAAAAGTTTTCATACTATGGCTGAGTTGCAGCAACATACTTTACAGCCGGTATTTTTGTATGAAGTTTGACAGATTTTTAACATTAAAGTGGTTAAAGTAAGATGGTGAAACTCAACCTAATTCCTTTAATGGCGATTCTAATACGCAAGCGATTCGAAGTCGAAAGCTTTTCATGCTTGAGGTACCGAACAAAGCGATTCCTAACATCCGATACAAAGTTTATAAGTTCGCCCGCCATGTTTTACTTATTTGAGATAAAAGAAAATGGACGAACAGATTAGCAAGTCTGAATCCGACATGAGACCGGTTATCGTAGTTTGTATTTGTTGGGAGCGTAGAAAAAGTGAATAAGGCAGGCGCGGATCCACCGTTGTGGGCACTGTGGGCATGCCCACAACCCTAATTTGCTTGTTTTAATAATGCTCTATTGATAAGTTCGACAGGCATGTAATGTCCGGGCATGTAGTGATCCAAGATCCAACTCTCACTTTGCTAATTTTTGGTGGCTGTGCCCACAACCTTTTTTGAGAGCTGGATCCGCGCCTGGAATAAGGTAACTTTTAAATAAATCCTAGAATATTTATCCCCATATAAACCTACAAAACTAAAACAGTAGTGTATTTTTATTACTGTTTTGTAAAGAAAGGCAAAAAGAGTCCCGTCCTGAAATAAATATGATAAATTTTTTCAGGAATGATTTTGGTTATGAAATGTGTATTTTGTATGTTGGTATTTACCACTTTTGTGGCAAAAAATATTCCTAGAGCAAAGAAACTTTATATGGGACACCCATTACAACAATTAACTAGAATTTTATTTTAATTAATCTATTGCTACATAATAATTTATTTTTAATCTAAACCACATACACACGGCCCAAACCACTGGACGGATCGGGCTGAAATTTGGCATGCACGTAGGTATCCGCTAAGAAAGGAAATTATGAAACTCCATCCCTAAGGGGGTAAAACGGGATATGTCGCGGGCGGCGAAAGTTTGTGTGGATGTCTAACCAGTTGGCACCACTGTCATATAGCCACTAACGAGTACCAGGAGCTTACTCTCCAGTGCACTGGTGAAACATTTGCGATAGATCCTACTAATATTATAAATGCGAAAGTTTGGATGTCTGTATGTCTGGATGTTTGTTACTCTTTCACGCAAAAACTACTGAACGGATTTTAATGAAACTTTACAGTATAATTGTTGATAGCCCAGAATAACATACAGGCTATAATTTATGACGATCTGTGACAAATTAAATTTTACGCGGGTGAAGCCGCGGGCAAAAGCTAGTCGTAACTAAAACTAGACTGTTTATGATATTAGCCTACTTTACTTAGTCTGTTAAATAATCCTATTTCACGTTTACCAAAATATGATTGAATCTGAATGATACGTCTCTCTCAGACGTGGTTTCAAATTATGTCTACGTCATTATCTTGCTTTGAAAACTGATATCCTATTAAGATGAAATTACACTAAGTTGTAATCATTTGAATGTCTACAGAAATAGATATAGTTAAGACGTAGGATTTCACAACAGCGACCTACTAATGGAGTGGGTGTAAGTAGGTACCTACTATACCCGCGTGAAATTTGATCTGTCTCAAAAAAACTCTATCGAGCGCGTCTGTTTCAAATACCGGGATAAAAATATCATATATCCTTTCCCGGGAATCAAACTAGCTCTATACCAAATTTCATCAAAACCGGTTCAGTGGTTTAGGCGTGAAAGCGTAACAGACAGACAGAGTACTTATAGAGTTACTTTCGCATTTATAATTTACTAGGGACTATGTAGTAGTGATAAAAACCTCCCCATTGCACCCCGTTTTAGAAACGGGCATTAGTTTATTCTCAGTTAACTAGATACTTAGTTATGTTTGTAAACCACCAAGCCAGACGGCTGCCAAACAAATTAAGCACTCAAGTGCCTATTTGATCTTATAAAAAGATAAGTCATCTGAGCAGCCTCTCATAGCGGCTATGGAACTGTAGCCCGCCAAGAAAATTTGCCCGGGGCAGGCTTCTCAAAAGCTGTATAGTGAATGCTTATAGTACACACAATTTCAGTATTAGCCAGGCTGGTAGAGCTGGTTTTAAATCTTGAATACTCTTTTCTAGTTAAATCAATGGAGGACTGAGATGTTTAATTTTGTAAATCAAATTGAAACTTATGTAACAAGGTAGGTTAGCATTTGCCCGCGTGGATTTCAGAATACATTGCTATGCATGAGTTACTAAAGAGTTGTTGATAATTTCATCATCATCGTCCACTGCTGAACATAGGCCTCCCCCAATGCTTTCCATGTTGCCCGATTGGTAGCGGACTGCTTCCAGCGCCTTCCTTTGTGATGTCGTCGCACAGTGTTGCAACGGCCGGACAAAAACCAAATTTTGGAAACTGAACGTAAACGAAAATTGATTAACTATTATTCAAACTGAATATGTGTGTCGTGAAAATGCAAAATATTGAGGATAGATTGCTAACAGAAATGAAAATATGACTGGTCAAAGTAGGGCGTCCGATAACAAGGTTTCCTTGGAACAAAAATATTGCTTTATTCATTTAGGCACTGTTTTGTCAATTGATAAATATTTACACGATTAAAAATATGGGTTCTAGAGTTCAAGGTACTGTCTTTTAGAAAATGTATTTGTGTTTATAGAACTTAAGCCTGTTTATTTAATAAAAATTAACAAAATCAGTGATTGAAAACTACCTTAAAAATTATATTCACAAGGCTGAAAGTACATACTTTCCATTACTTTCCGTAACGAAATATTGATAGAAATTATCCTCAGATATTATATTTTAATGTTGTAAAAACAAATTTTGCTACGACATACTACCGGCGCTGTTTTTTGCAATTCTCGAAACTAAGAATTTTTCCGAGGCACTGTTTGAGAATTGGATCAAGTTCCTGTAAACAAGCGGTCAGTTACACATGGTAACATACTTAACGTCATTACAAAGGTGCACCAAGAAATACATTTGGATGATATAAGCCTATCGAGCTATGGAAAGCCACAAACCCTAATCATTAAGCTGAAGTTAGATGATATTTTGCATTCATTTTTGTTCCAAGTTTGTAGGTACTAAAATATGTACCAATTTCAAAATTAAAATATGTATTTTTCTATTAGATATAATATGTAGTTATATTTTATACAAATCTGACAAAAGGTAGTAAGTTCAGATCGAAAATAATTTTGCCCGTTACTTACTATGAACCGGCAACACTGTGCGTCGGTCCACCTTGTGCGTGGACGTCCCACACTGATAATTTACCAAGTATGAATAAGAGGCTCATATTGAGCATTTTATAATACTATTATTCCGTACATGCACACTTTAAATGTTATCTGGCCTGTAACGTATTTTTAGGCGTTTATTTCCCATTTTATTTCGCTGATCGTTCCAATACAAATTTACCCTTTCCGATAATTGCTTCGGCAAACTAACCCGAATTCGTTAAATACTTAATTGAAAGCATCAATTAATAATGGATGATAAAATTTTATTCGTTTGCCATTTCGATAACTGTAGCAAAATGAATTTCTGATAAATAACAGTCTGTGACCTTTCTATTATTTATTAACATTTAGGTAGGTACTCGTATGTCGCCACTCGAGAACTTTTCTGCCCCAACGGCCATCGTCTCTACGAGTATGTGCCCCGCCCACTGCCACTTGATTTTAGCAATTCTGTGAGCTATATCGGTCACTTTGGTTCTCCTGCGGATCTCCTCATTTCTGATTCGATCACGCGAGGAAACTCCGAGCCTAGCCCTCTCCATCGCCCTTTGGGTGACCTTGAGCTTTCTTATGAGGCCCATGTTTCAGTCAGATCCATCATCACTGGCAACACACACTGGTCAAAGACTTTTGTCTCGAGACACTCGGTATTTAGGACGTGAGTACCTATATCGCGAAGCTTCCCGAACGCTGCCCAGCCGAGTTGGATTCGGCGACCACGGGCCGGACGTAGCGTGGGCAAGCCTCCCACTAGGTGGATTGACGATCTGGTGAAGGTCGCGGGAAGAACCTTGGATGCGGGCAGCGCAGTACCGGTCGTTGGGGAATGCCTTGGGGGAGGCCTTTGTCCAGCGGTGGACGTCATTTGGCTGAAACGAACTCGTATGTCCTGTAGAAGTATGTACATTTTCGTCAAGATTTAAACCTGCCGAAAAATCATTGGCCGGTTTTTTGGCAATTTTCTTTCTTTGTAAACTAGATGTAAGAACTACTTTTGTGTGAAAGAGACAAAATAGAAACATGTGCAAAGAAATAATTTACAGAGTAGGTTCTTTTATAAAGATTCCGGCTCGTCACGTCCTTCGCAAATAACGCACGCGCTTAATATTTTGGCGCGAACGCCTACGATATGGCGTCACGTATTTTTCCTCATTTTGCTTTGTTTTAGATTTCTCTTGTATTAGGTTATTTTTTTAGCGAAATTCGTGGGATATTCTTGGCTGTAGTTGCAAGTCAACGTTTAATTATGTAACTTTAGTGAAGGTTTTTTAGGTAGGTAGGTACCACCTAAGATATTAATATTGCCTGTAATAACTTTTATTCACTTCTTATTTATTTCGGCTGGCTTGCCCTGAAGGTACCTACAACGCGATAATATAACATTCATTGAGTTAACTGCGCACCTGGCCGTGACGTCATATTATCGACGCTCTACTGGTAACGTGGGAAGGTGCGCAGTTAACTCGACCGGGTTGTAGGTACCGAGCTTAACCCACATCGAAAAATGTATTACACCTACTTAAACCAATAATCAATTTTTGTTAATATTGTGCGTGTGTGATTACCGGGACAGAAAATTATTGAGTGACCAAAATTTTTTTTATCGTCAGGAAAATGCATGAAATTGCATACCCACCAGCATACGGGGCCCGGGGGGTAGGTATGTGTTATGTGGGACTCTCCCTACCAGAAGGGTAAGGTTTACCCACGCACGAAAGACCAGACCAGACCTGACTGTTTTCGTCATGAGCCATTTATTAAGAGTGGGGAACGCGGGACATCGCCATAATCGCCATTAGCTGTTGCGTTAATCATTTCATAACCACTGCTGAGGTTAACCAGTCAGTGAATAATTATATCAGAAAAACAAGGTGAAAGTATTAATGGTGAGTTTTCTTACACAAGTAATTTTAATAATCGATTGTAGTGTAAAAACAAATCGATTATTTTCGACTCGACTCGATTCATCGTTAAAGAATGTATAACCCGATTTCTGAACGAAATGTTACCTACAACAAAATTTAAAAAGTAAATTGTCAAAGTAGCTGTCAAACAAATGATATACGTGAATTTCGCTTTTTGTTACTCAAAGAAAATTAAATAAAATCGTTCAAAATGCCTGCTGGAACGTCTACAATGGATCCCTTGAGAGAAAAAGCATTTCAGGATTACCGGAAGAAGTTGATGGAACACAAAGAAGTCGAATCGCGGCTCAAAGACAGTAAGTAATCGTGGAGTTGGTCTTCATTTATGCCGAATCATCGCGCTTATTTTTGCAGCTATTGACGAAATAAATGTATTTCTCTTAGTATTTGACCACTACATCGACCCATACAAGCTTTAACCTATATTTTATTGCAAAAAAGTTTAATTAGGTTAACATAAGATGGTACAAAGCAATGAACATTTGTATCATTAGTCACAAGAAATATAGCTTTTTTCAGGTTGACTACATTTCTAATGTAATTTTGTACATCATAATTAGAAATATATAGATTCTACAATGATATTATAGGTATGACTACTAATATTGATCAAATCATGCCCAATTTGATTCACAGTGCGTGAGCAGCTGAAGGACCTCACAAAACAGTATGACAAGAGTGAAAACGACCTCAAAGCTCTCCAGAGTGTGGGTCAGATCGTCGGTGAGGTGCTCAAGCAGTTGACTGAAGAGAAATGTAAGTGTTTTTGGAGAAAAACATTCTAAGTCATTGAAAGATGCCCGTTGATGATGATGATTTCGTGTCTATTGGCTAGAATGTTCCGTGCATGTGTGAAACAAAGGAATACATCAGCCATGGCAGGTCTAATCAATAAGCAGAAGACTATCGGCTATAGGGTCGGCCATTTGGTGAAGTGGTTCAAAACTGACTACTATTCCTGAGGTTGCAGGTTCGAGTCCCGCACAGTACAAACATTTGTGTGTATGAACATACTTGAACTGGGTGATTTCTATGTATAATATGTATGTATTTACAAAAAAAAGTATTTAAGTATGTTTATATCCATTGTCTAGTACCCATAGTACAAGCTTTGCTTAGTTTGGAACTAGAAGCACAGTGTAAAATGTCCAAGGATATCATTATTATTATCTATCTGACTATCTTTACCTTCGTAATTTCAATGTACTAGTCTTTGCATTTTTGCATTCTTTCTCCATAACCTAAAATAATTGCCTGTGTGTCACAAATTGTGTTTCTGTCTGAAATATTTAGTTTGTGTATGTCCTAAAACACTTTTTATTTTCCAGTTATCGTCAAAGCAACCAACGGTCCTCGCTACGTAGTTGGGTGTCGTCGTCAGCTAGACAAGAACAAGCTAAAGGGAGGCACCAGGGTGGCTCTCGACATGACTACCCTGACGATCATGCGGCATTTACCGAGAGAGGTACATATAAACCTTACTAATAATAGTTACAGGCTTATTGTTTTAATAGACATTTACAGTCCTCTCAACTTCAGCTGAGAATTGCATTTGTGTGAGTGCACACCGATAGTTTAGAGTGGCAATCGGCTTGAAGCGCGGCGCGTCCCGCGCATGGTTTATTATAGCAAGCGGCCTGAAGCGCGGCGCGTCCGCCACGCACCGCTTCCTTGTCGCTCACATTCTTCACTTCACCCCCGGTACTGGTAGCAGATACGTGTAATTTTATGTAATTGTGTTCCAAATATTAGTGAAATGGCTCCTACTGTAAGTGAATTTCCTGTACGAAATCCATTAAGCAGCCAAGCGAAAGAAATTTTATGCAAATTGAATACGTATTTTAAAGGTGTGAACGAAAAGTTTTTAGTCTGTTTTTATTTTGTAATTTTATAAAGTTTGTCTTTTTGTTGTATTTTGTAAGGCTGGCTGGACGCCCTCTCTATAAACGGTGCTCGCAGAATATCAGCGTCGAGGTACTTCGTGCCTTGGCATATGCTGAGCGAGGACCTGTTTTTATTTATTTATTTATTTAAAAGGATGTGTCAAGTGTCGTTACATCGGCCCAATTGGTAGCAAGTGTTTTATAGACTTCCTTTTAATAAAACATTAATTTTATTTGTATGTGTTTTACTCTTACTTTAACTTTAACAAACGTCAAAATTCTGTCAAACTCCATACAAAAAGCACCGGTTACCGTTATAGTTACGGTCAAAGTTAGATGGTGCAACTCAGCCTAAAACTAAGAAAGATTGAAGAAAAAGAAACATTTCGTTTTAAACCTTAACCCTATGACAATAAAGTGCACAATGGTATTTCATATTGCAACCTAAGCCCTGATTGTCTCTTATTGGTCGTAGTAAAAATATAGTAAAATGCGTAACCAATTAGAGAGGGGGTGAGCACGTGACCGGAGCGATGCGCTTACGCTAAAATTTCTACAAAGTGGTCAGGCGGAAGAGTCCCCGATAGTACTTTTGGCGATCACTCACACAAATGCAATTCTCAGCTTAAGTTGATAGGACTGTAGTACGGTAATGTCCTTTCTTATAATGATGTGTAAATATTCTTCCTCATGTCAGCAAAACACTAAGGCTGGGTTGTGTCATCTTACTTTGACTTTAACAAATGTCAAAAATCTGTCAACCTCCATACAAAAAACCACTGGTTATCATCAAAGTTACAGTCAAAGTTAGCTGGTGCAAATTAAGCCTAACGTGCCTTGTATCTCCAGCATCATTGCTGATAAAAATATTCTTACTTACACAATGTCCAATCCTTACTGATTGTATAATTGCATCTTTGAAAAAAATATTGAAAAGCCACTCTTACTTTGTCTTCTGTACAATATTGATTGTAAAAAGTGTCCCCCTGACTAGGAAATGTGGGTTTTTAAAAATGTTCATGTTATATTATGTACTTTTCTTTTTATAGGTTGACCCTCTAGTGTACAACATGAGCCACGAAGACCCTGGTGACGTCACATACTCGGCCATTGGAGGTCTGCAGGAACAGATCCGACAACTCAGAGAGGTGAGCGTCAATTTAATTAATAAATCGTAATACAGTGTCAGTTGTCTGTTTGCACTGAACCTTAAGAGTAGGCGCACACCGTTGATTTTTCATGTATGGGAGTGCGCACACTACGCCGATTCGATTTGGCCGATTCTTCATACAAATTAAAATCGGGCACAACTATCGGCCAACTAAAAATTAACAGTGTGCGCCTACTCTAAGGAGTATTGAAGCATGAATCTATTCTCAAACCTACAATACCTAAGATTGGTTTATATTAGTAAAATGAAAACGGTACGTACATCTAGGAAAACGAAATTTTTTGGAGGCACACCAAATATGAAAAATCAATTTTATAAGATAACCTTATTTTTCCGAGGCACATCATCTAAAGATCACGGTACACCAGTGTGCCGCGATACACTAGTCTATATTATAAACAAATTAAACAATAGTCATAGTAGGGTAACATTGGCTCTGTGTGGTGTCAGTGTGCACCACACGAGTGGTACAGAAAATTAATTTCGAGTAACTTTGCAAAAATGCACTGGTAGTTTTTACCTGCATTGAGATTTTTGGCATAAGTATGAACACACATCAAGAGTCATAGAAATTTCTAGAAGACAAGAATGCTCATGCTAGAAATGGCAATGCCTGGTTTTGTATGGAAGGTGGCGTCTTTTTTTTTTTCGCGCGGCCATCGACCAAACCTTATTTTTTTATTACAAAATAGTGTAATAAACCAAACTTACTATGACATGTATACCTCTAAACTCAGTCTGGACTGAGTTACGAGCATTAGAAGTTTGATGATTTTACATACTAGATTTGCTTTCTGCATGCAAGCTTTGTAAGAAATTGCAACAAAATAGTGACATTGTATGTGTAAACAAACAATAACATCAATTATAGGCTCCAGTCATCAGTATGGAGCAGAATCAGCGCAACAAAAAGAGACGTCACTATTTTGTTGGAATTTCTTACAAAACTTGCGCACAAAAAGCAAATTATAGTATGTAAAACATCAAACTTCTAATGCTCGTAACTCAGTTCAGACTGAGTTTAGAGGTATACATGTCATAGTAAGTTTGGTTTATTACACTATTTTGTAACCAAAAAACATGGTATGGTCGATAGCCGCGCGAAAAAAAAAGACTCCAATATCCGGCATTGTCTTTTCAATTCAGAAATTGGATCTATGTATCAAGCTGAGAGCTAGAGTAATTAATTACATTGCATTTTCGTTTCCATCATCTCACAATGCACCATTTATATTTGCAGGTCATCGAACTCCCGCTCCTCAATCCTGAGCTATTCGTCCGCGTCGGCATCACGCCGCCCAAGGGCTGTCTCTTGTACGGGCCGCCCGGCACCGGCAAGACGCTACTAGCCAGGGCCGTCGCTTCACAGCTGGACGCCAACTTCCTCAAGGTAACCAGTGGCAATGAGGGCTATCGTTTTTATACTTAACAGTTGGCACCCCTGGCGATTGACAGGACCTTACTCTACAGTGGCGCCATCTTGATGAATGCAAATGCGATAGTCCTCCTACCACTTTAGCGCTCACCAGTTGGTGCCACTGTCTTCGCTACTAGCAAGTGACAGGACCTTACTCTACAGTGGCGTTAACTGGTGAGCGCTAAAACGATAGCCCTCATTGGACGAATTGGGCTATTCTCCGTACCATCAGGCTAATGGCACCGGCAAAACACTTCTAGTGAGGGCCGTCGCTTCACAGCTGGACGCCAACTTCCTCAAGGTGACGTCACAGGCCTCGGGTCATTGCCCTCCAAGGCTGCCTGCTGTACGGTCCGCTAATTATGTTGCTGTCGCGCTCGCACACTCACTGCGGGCGCGCGTCGCACAGTCGCGACAGCAATATAATTACGCGCGAGCGATAAGGATGGGTAGCTTGGGGTCATTGGACAAAATTCTACGTGCTCACGGACCAGGCTTTAGCCAGGGCCGTCACGTCGCAGCTGGACGCCAACTTCCTCAAGGTGACGTCACAGGGCTCCGGTCATTGCCCTCCAAAGGCTGCCTCTTGTATGGGCCGCCCGGCACCGGCAAGACGCTACTAGCCAGGGCCGTCGCTTCACAGCTGGACGCTAACTTCCTCAAGGTGACGTCACAGTCGGGTCATTGCCCTCCAAGGCTGCCTGCTGTACGGGCCGCTAATTATGTTGCTGTCGCGCTCGCACACTCACTGCGGGCGCCCGTCGCACAGTCGCGAAAAAAATATTTTCCATCCCAATAGTACGCCGGCTGCGCTCGATTCGGATATAATGACGTCACGCGGCCTTGCGTAAGTTGACTTTTAGCGGCAAAAACGGCCTATGTTTATTACTTAATATCTTCGTAAGTAATGGTCCGATTTGGATAATTCAAAAAGATATATCTTTCTTATGTCTTAAAGATTAACGTAGATACTAGTTTTATTGAATTTTCTACAACAGTACTGATCCTCATTGCGACGATGATCGACCGAGCGTGTATAGAAATACGCGTAAGCAAACAGGCGCGTGGCGGCCCGGACTGATTTGCAACTTGAAGTTGTCGCGCGCTGTAGGTAATTATCTCGGCCGGCATAGGCGAGTGACGGAGGCCTGCCATTGTTCTCGAGGTAACATGGATGAATTGGGCTCCATTCCCCACCATCAGGCCTCCCCCATCTATGTCTAAGGCCAGATAGGTTGGGGGGTCTGATGTTCGCATATTTGGCCTTTAGTCGCATCTTACGGTGGAGTGGCCACCTTCTCCAATTCACCAGAGGCAAATGGCACTGGTAAGACACTACTAGTGAGGTAGTGAGGGCCGTCCCGTCACAGCTGGATGCCAACTTCCTCAAGGTAAGTGACAAATGGACGAATTGGATTACACGCTAGTTCGATGCGCTAGTCTGATGGACGAATTGGGCTACACCCTAGGCCTTAGTCACTTCTTATGGACAAGTGAAGAGTGGGGTGGTCCTATGAAGTCATGCAGGGGTTCAACCCTCTCCAATGTACCAGAGACAAATGGCACTGATAAGACGCTACTGGGCTAGCATGCAGCTGAATGCCAACTTCCTCAAGATGACGTCATCATCCTTAGGTCATAAGTTCCTACTGCAGGAAAATGACCTTAACAAGCCCAAGTGAAAATGTATATTGGCATTTCGTCAGCCTCGTGGGACATTCTACTCATTCTTGATTCGGAGAGTCCCATATGTTTATGATCTGCCTAAAGCACTTGCGATTTTAGGCTTTTGCTTGTTTTATGAGGGGGCTTTCAATTAGGGTTTTCGCGTATGAAAGATCCGCTAGATGGCGGGACGTGGATGTGGGTTCTGACTGCTGCGTGATTGGTGGATTTTGACATATCTGTCAATGTCATGTCAAAAATTACCAATGATGCAGCGTTTGGACCTCGCGTCTACGTATTGCCATCTGGCGGATTTTTCATACGCGAAAACCCTCATTATAATCCAAAGGTTAACAAGGGCTAGAAATAGCAGTTATAGCTGAGTTGTGTAATTTTTTTTAAATATCTCAATTTAACTATTCGCAGGTGGTATCGTCGGCGATCGTGGACAAGTACATCGGCGAGTCGGCGCGGCTCATCCGCGAGATGTTCAACTACGCGCGCGACCACCAGCCCTGCATCATCTTCATGGACGAGATCGACGCCATCGGTAACTAACAACTAACTAACGCCATTAGAACGTGAAGAATGTGCCATGAGGCGGATAAAACGCCACTACGCAGGACCTTTGATGCGCAATCCAAGCTTAGCTTACACTGGCCAAACACATCCTAAGCCCACAGGATGTAAAACATATCGCCCTCTAAAAGAGACTGCACTAAAGCCCGGTCCGTGAGCACGTAGAATCCCGTCCAATGACCCCAAACTACCCATCCTTATCGCTCGCGCGTAATTATATTGCTGTCGCGACTGTGCGACGCGCGCCCGCAGTGAGTGTGCGAGCGCGACAGCAACATAATTACGTGCGAGCGACAAGGATGGGCAGCTTGGGGTCTTTGGACGGGATTCTACGTGCTCACGGACCAGGCTTTAATAAGAAAAACTTTATTTGACACAAAAAGGAAAAAATAAAAAACAGAACAAAGGGACTTAAAACTATACACGCATATTTTTGTGCCAAAAAGGCGCCCGCTCAGCATTAATCGAGCCACGCGTGCCCCGACGCTGGTTTTCAGCGGGCGCCTCTCCAACCAACATTATAAATTAAAAAAAAAAAACATTTAACAAAACAAAACAACAAACAAAACATTGACAAAGAGGGCGCCACTATTACTTTCTTTACGTGTGGAAGAACTTAAACTGGCCAGTATGGTTATCTGGGACTTTTCCAGAGGGGTGGCCTTCTGACTAAAACTCTAGAGAGATAGGATGCTATTGGCAACTAAAATATTAACTCTTCATGTTCAACTACGCGCGCGGCCACCAGCCCTGCATCATCTTCATGGACGAGATCGACGCCATCGGTAACTAACAACTAACAGTAACTAACTAACGCCATTAGAACATGAGTGCCTAAATCAGTTTCGAAATCCAACAACTACGCAGGACCTTTGATGCGCAAACTTAGCTTACACAAGCCCACATGATGCCTAAAAGATACTGCACTACCTAACTGGGACTTTTCCAGAGGGGTGGAGCCTTCTGACTATAATCACAGGGATACCAGCGGTGTCATAACTCTTCATGTTCAACTTGTTATCATGCATTATATTTATGGACAAGATCGACGCCATCGGTAACTAACATTACCACAGAATAATAATAAGTACTACGTACAAAAAGTTTTGGAATACTTATCCTGTCCTCAGTAGATAGGAGAATACTTATCCTGTCCTCAGTAGTAGATACAGAGGGGTAGAACCTTCTGACTAAAAGTATAGAAATAAATACCATCAGTAACTATATCATAACTCTTTATGTTCAATCACCAGCCCTGAATCATCTTCATGGACGAGATCAACGCCATCGGTAACTAAAATAACTGTCGGCAGCTGTCCCTCTTTGGAAATTATAAACCATTCATACTTACCTTTCTTTCGTCTAAAGTAATTTAAAGCAGTGGACCAGCCTAAAAAAACTTATTTGCACCCTCCTGGATCGGCAGGACAAACGCCACCCCTAACTTCTTATCTTCCTAACTTGACAGATGATCTTGACCTTGCCATTTTATCTGATGGATAGCACACACATTAGCATAAAAGCAAGCCGAAAATTTTTCTCTTACTAGGAATCAAAACTCCTTTTCGCAGTGATACTCAATACCAATCATTCCAAGACACACCATCTGATGAAACTTCATTCTGGTCCTAACGAAACCATGACACTACAGCCTAAACGAGTACTTCAGTGACTTAAACTTAAATTAAAAAAAATATTGCATACGTTTCACGTTGATTACTAAATCAATCATTTAATTGCTAAGCCTAAATGGGTAACATGATGTACTGGATAACATGATAACTAGAGTTGCCGCGAATAGTGGTTATAGCGAATAGTCGAATACCGATTAATCGCCATTCACTTTGGCGAATAGTCGAATAACTCGACATTACTATTCGACATAAAAATATTAAAATTATTTCTAATTTCTTCTAAGGTTCTCACAGAAAAGAAAACAATAAAGTTAAAGAAATCTGTTTCATGTTATACATACCTACATATATGTAGTAAATTTTAGGCATGTTTTGAAGAATCATCTATAGAGCAACCTACTGAAGAGCACCCCAAGAATGCCAGTGCTGAAGAAATCGCCCACTACATCTCATTAGCAAAGGCTGACAGAAAAATAAACCCATATGAATGGTGGACTTTGAGTACCAATAAGAATAGATTTCCTATATTAAGTAAGCTTGCTAAATGACACACCAGCAAGCTCTGTTTATTCAGAAAAACTATTTTCCGAGGCAGGTTTAATTTACGAGGAAAAACGAAACCGACTTGCTCCCGAACGTGCAGAAAAAAATGATTTTTTGCACCACAATCTGCCTCTGTTGGATTTTAAATATTAATTAAAAAGCCTAACTAATTTAATTTCATGAATATGATAGGCACAGGTACATATTATAAATAATAATTGATATTGTGTATTGTTTTGTTAGGGAAAATAAAAATATGATTATTTTTAACTCATTAGTTTTTTTGGTCACTAAAAGTTTATTTTAGACGACTATTCGCCGAATGCCGAATAATACTAGCTATTATTCGGTATTCGACGAATATCAAAAAAATGTCGAGTAATGCCGAATACCGAATAATAGCGAGTATTCGCGGCAACTGTAATGATAACCACATCTTGTAAACATTCATGAAATGCAATAAACACATTTTGACTTTGATTTAACTTTGTGCAGCGGCTGCCCTGATTTGAAAAATATAAAAGATTTTTAATATTCAAAATCAACATTGTCCATCCCAACCTGATGACGTCATAGTCCCCATTTCACGTTTTGGATCTTAACCTGTAATGCTTTATCTTCTTAGGTGGCAGACGTTTCTCCGAAGGCACCAGCGCCGACAGAGAGATCCAGCGAACGCTCATGGAACTTCTCAACCAAATGGACGGCTTCGACTCCCTCGGCCAGGTCAAGATCATCATGGCCACCAACCGGCCTGATACCCTGGATCCGGCTCTGTTAAGACCTGGTAGATTGGACAGGAAGATTGAGATCCCTCTGCCCAATGAACAGGCTAGGTAAGTTTTCAGAGTTTGTTGCAGCATTTCTTCTAAGCAGTTGCAACAAAGCTGCTGCAAGTGGTTGCAACAAAGCTGGAAAGTGATGTAGGTCGAAGGTGGAAGTGGACTTAGAAAAACGCTAACGGGATTGTTCCCACCTCTCGTTCCCACCGCTGCAACTCCTGTGTAGCCAGGATCGACAGCTCGACCGCCATAAAAACCCAACCAATGAAGGTCAAGTTTGTCCCGGGGGAAAGTTAAACTGAAAAACGCTAGTTTAGTGGTCTCCCTAATGCAAAACAAATAGTAGATTACTAGTTATTGTGATAAAAAATACCCTTTGTTCTGTATTTGTCCCCGTCATTTAAACCCTTGCAAGCTTTAAGTATGTTCGTTATAAATAGGTTCACCACATTCACCACCAAAAACTCAGTGGCCAACAACGATGGAACTATCAACCTTCCCAACTTTACGAATGATTTAATTACTTTCGAGGCATTTTATCGATTTCGCACGATAAGCTCTTACATTTGTCGTCTAAAATCGTCGATAAGATTTTATCATGACCCACATAACGTTGCTGTCAGTTCAAAAGGCTGTCAAATCCAAATGTAAAAATTATACAGTTTTTTGTGTCTCCTGAAAACCTACTGGTATGATACATCCTTTTGAACTGACAGCGACGATAAGCCTGGCTGTCACATTTTCATGCTTTTATTTTAAATTCCAGACTGGAAATCCTGAAGATCCACGCGCAACCGATCGCCAAACACGGCGAGATGGACTATGAGGCTGTCGTCAAACTGTCCGACACTTTCAACGGCGCTGACTTGAGAAACGTTTGCACTGAGGCTGGTCTCTTCGCTATACGGGCTGAGAGGGAGTATATTATACAGGCAAGTCGTCAAGTAAGGTAGTCAAACGATTCTGAACAATCGAGTGGCAAAAATCGGAACTAATAACAGAGTATTCGAGCGCATAAAGGTAGCAGGAAGGCCAAGCAGGCCGCTACCAACCGGTCAACATGGAAATCATTGGGGGAGGCATAATATGTTCAGCAGTGGACGTCCTATGGCTGAGATGATGATGATGAAATTATGAAAAGATGAGCATAAGCCGTGTGGTGACGGCAGAGTAGAATACATTTGTCACCAACCCCTACTCTTCCCGCGGGTGTCGTAAGAGGCGACTTAGGGACTACACATCAAACAGAGAATGGGCAGCAGCGCTCTCTGAAAAACATCAATCTTTTAAACTGCGATCTCCAACCCGCCTGCCTAGCGTGGAGATTATGGCAAAACCCTCCACTATAGTGGAGGAGGCTCATAGTCCAGCAGTGGACTGTAAAGGGCTGTTAAAGGGCTGTTGATGAGCATAAGCTTTATCAGCAAGTAGGGATACAGCTCATACAGCCCCTTATCTCCCTTTGGGATTGATTAAAGATTAATTTTATTTAAAATCTATTCTTTTACAGGAGGATCTAATGAAAGCGGTTCGTAAGGTGGCCGATAACAAGAAACTTGAAAGCAAGCTCGACTACAAGCCCGTCTAAGAATTTAGTTTAAACTTAACATTAGGATATACTTACTTCCAGTTTTCAAACGTATGAAAAATGTTATTTACTCCGTTTTATAATGATTTGGAACTGGTAACACTGTAATGAAAATAAAGAAATTAATATTTTATTCGTTTATTTTTTAATAATCTATTTACACAATATACAATACAATAAATTGTCTGGCATCCATAGTACAAGGTTTGCTTAGTTTAGGACTAGATGGCGCTGTATAATATTTATTTTACAAAGTAGACAAAATCCGAACTAAGCAGCGTCTATTTTATAATTTAATAAGTCTGTTTCTTTTAAAAAAGTGTCCTACTGATGAATTACTAAATTATAATGCTTCGTTCTAAGGCACAATAGTTACAACAAATTAGTTGTTCAGTCCTTGTTACAAAAATGTTGGCGGGTAGTCGCATATTTGTTTCGCCAACTTTATTTTCCTACCGTCGTTCAACGGTCGGAGCCTCAGTTGCCGGGCGACGTTCAATGCGCACACACGTGTGTCGCGCGCTCCGCCAGTGAGTGACGTCACTCCTTCGAAAGACCGTCTTTTGTGATTGTTCGCGTGTGTAACTGTGCTTCGTGTGACATCATCATCATCAGCTCCAAGGATTGGCATCCGTCCGTGGCGTGGGTGGACTTTAAGGTTAGTGAAGCTCAGATTACCTCTCTGTATTGCGAGGACTGATCTACCTTTCATCAATTTTCTACAACAAAAACTATACAATGCACTTTCTAATCAAATATCCATAATATAGGTGATAAACGCAATTTTCAGTACGACTCACGCAAATTACTTGTAATAATGTAGCATAAAAGTAATACTATTCGGTTCTCAATTATTATGACATTCTTTAACATTATGGTTATTCAAAATAACTGATATACAGGGTGTTATAGTCTTTTTCACGTAAGATGATCCGTATGACACTTCAAGGTTATCCATATTACGCATACTACATATGCAGAATATTTTTGAAAAAATATTTGTATTTTATTAGCAATATGATAAAAAAAGAAAACTACCTTGTCTTGAAATATATAGTAAAATCTGAGTCTATTGATTATATTTTAATGAAATACGATGTAAAAAATATTTTTTNGTACTCGCAAGGGAATCAAAACCTAAAGGGTACTTCCAGTCGACCTAGAATCTTGAAATTTGGCATGAAGCAACGTTTTATAGCACACATGAAGGAAAAATTCCGCAACCCTTAAATTTTTAGTTACATTACAAAATATATCTTTTTTAATAAATATAAACTTATGAATTTCATTTTGCAATAAAAATACCATAGTTATGACTCGATTGTCGTAATGAACGAACTTTGTAAACCTTGCAGGTTTGTACGGAACCCTCGGTGAGCGAGTCCGACTCGCACTTGGCCGGTTTTATTAAAAGTGCATTCCTATTTAGCTAATGTCAGTTAGCATGCAAATTACAATATAATTGATCATAAAATAATGTCGATTGATTACATAACATTATATTTATATTGATTCAAATAAAATTCATTAGCATATTTTAATAATAACCCAACCATTGAAGGTCAAGTTTGTCCCGGGGGAAAGTTAAACTGTCATTGGACCCGCAACGAAATTAATCAGAAGAACATAGGAGTTCGAAGTTTATTATTTCGTACAGTTCTTCTTCTCTATTGTGTTTCCACGTTTGCCAATGTTGTCGTACAGTCAATGATCCAACGACACCCAAAGAAGTCAAAATTCGCAACACGTATAAGATTGTGTTGTCAACCTTTTGGTCACTTTGGGTGTCACGAAATATTTGACGCTGAATTAGGCCCAGAACAGACGGTTCAAATTTCTGATGAATGAAACTGAAACTGAAAGTTTCAAACTGGTCGCGTCATGTGTGGTCTCTCAACGGACGCTATGGCAGAAACTTAGATGCAACTCAAAAGTAACTAGCAGTTGCAGTTGCGTTTCACCGTCTGTTCTGGGCCTTACATTAGTGATTCTTGCGCTTCTTTTCAACACTGGCCGATATTTATTGTCCCGAAGCAGTGCTAAGGTCGGGATGTGTAAGTGCTCTTTAAAGGCCTACTTACAAAAACTAAATTAATTTTCAACCGACTTAAAAAAAGAAGGAGGTTCTCAATTCTGTTGGAAAGTTAGNCCTCGGGTCATTGCCCTCCAAAGGCTGCCTCTTGTACGGGCCGCCCGGCACCGGCAAGACGCTACTAGCCAGGGCCGTCGCTTCACAGCTGGACGCTAACTTCCTCAAGGTGACGTCACAGGGCTCCGGTCATTGCCCTCCAAGGCTGCCTGCTGTACGGGCCGCTAATTATGTTGCTGTCGCGCTCGCACACTCACTGCGGGCGCCCGTCGCACAGTCGCGACAGCAATACAATTACGCGCGAGCGATAAGGATGGGTAGCTTGGGGTCATTGGACAAAATTACGTGCTCACGGACCCGGCTTTAGCCAGGGCCGTCGCTTCACAGCTGGACGCCAACTTCTTCAAGGCAAGTGGACGATTTGGGCTACACTTTCCACGTTGGGGAAGCTCTATGTTCGCATCATTTCTACCTTAATGAGGGCTATCGTTTTAGCGCTCACCAGTTGGCGCCACTGTAGAGTAAGGTCCTGTCACTTGCTAGTAGCGAAAACAGTGGCACCAACTGGTGAGCGCTAAAGTGGTAGAACTATCGCATTTAATTTTGCACTCATCAAGATGGCGCCACTGTAGAGTAAGGTCCTGTCAATCGCCAGGGGTACCAACTGTTAAGTATAAAAACGATAGCTCTCATTGCATCACTTCCTCAAGGTGACGTCAATATCAGTTAGTTACTTACTGCTGGAGCTAGATCATCCAATTTACCACAGACAAATGACAAAACGCTGTTGGCTGGTCAACGTCGCCAACTTCCTCAAAGTGACGTCATCGTCATCAGGTCATTTAGTCTCCAATTCAGAAGCATGACCTTCTTCAATTTACCAGAGGAAAATAGCATTGCTAAGATACATCTAGCGAGGGCTATCGCTTCACAGCTGGACGCTAACTTCCTCAAGGTAACATCACCATCTTTAGGTCATTTAGCCTTCATTGCAGAAGACCCTTTTCTATGAGGGCTATCGCTTACTTTCTTGGCTGGTCAACGCTGTCAACTTCCTTAAGGTAACGTCCTCAGATCTCAGTCTCTATTGCAGAAGCATGACTATCTCCAATTTAGCACAGAAAAATAGCATTGATAAGACTGCTAACCAGGGCCGTCGCTACACAGCTGGACGCTAACTTCCTCAAGGTAACCGGTGGCAATGAGGGCTATCGTTTTTATACTTAACAGTTGGCACCCCTGGCGATTGACAGGACCTTACTCTACAGTGGCGCCATCTTGATGAATGCAAATGCGATAGTCCTCCTACCACTTTAGCGCTCACCAGTTGGTGCCACTGTCTTCGCCACTAGCAAGTGACAGGACCTTACTTTACAGTGGCGTTAACTGATGAGCGCTAAAACGATAGCCCTCGTTGGACGAATTGGGCTATTCTCCGTACCATCAGGCTAATGGCACCGGCAAAACACTTCTAGTGAGGGCCGTCCGTCACATAATATTTATGCAATGTTACAGATTCATTTGGTTTGATCTTACTGAGTTGTGTTGTAATCAGGGATGTTATAGATATCCGTAACCGTAACCGAAACTTTCGGATGTCCGAAATAAAAAAATATCCGAAACCGTAACTGTAACCGATTCATAAGTTTCGGATATTAATGCCATCTAGAATCAATTTTTTTTTATTACTTTTTATTCGATGTAAAGTGTGCGGCCATGAATGAACCGTGATAGACAACTATTGCAAATTGCATTCTAAGGCACAGATATCCGTAACCGTAACCGAAACTACATATCCATAACATCCCTACTATGTACTAAATAAACTATTTGAATTTGAGTATTTTGTTGATTTTGTCATATTTGATGTACTTAAATTTGACTATTCTTACCGTTAGATAATTCCTGGCAATAAGTGGTGACTGAGTTTGTTCCGGCGTTTCTTCTCAGCACTTGCCATATGTTTGTCTCGAAGCGCTGGTAGGGCCCAAAAGATAAGGAGACATGTAAAGTGCCCCATAAGGGCTACCTTTTTCTTTTTTTATTATTTTCTATTGACGTTCATAAGTGCCACTTGTGGTCTAAACTGAATAAATATTTTTTGATTTTGATTTTGATTTTATTATTATGGAAGGTGTGCCAAATAATAAACATTTCTATTAAATAATCCGCAGGTGGTATCGTCGGCGATCGTGGACAAGTACATCGGCGAGTCGGCGCGTCTCATCCGTGAGATGTTCAACTACGCGCGCGACCACCAGCCCTGCATCATCTTCATGGACGAGATCGACGCCATCGGTAACTAACATATTCCTTCTGTTAGCTGGAAGAAGTTCACAGCCGAAGAAAACATTATTGTGGATGACCCAAAACCCGTGGAACCTTAAGCAGTTGTTTTATTTTATTTTACATTTCTTGTGTAAGAAATAACGCGGTAACTTAAGTACTTTGGTTGTTTTGTAACCTGACGAAAGATGTAAACCATAACCTACATGTGATTTGACAAACTGATCTCCCTAAAGGCTTCACCCTTACCCCAATTTACACAGAAAATGAACCTAACTGGGGGAAAAAACACTACATTCTAACCTTGAAAAGAGTTTTAGCCTTATTTATTAGAACATGGGTAAACTTCACTACACATCCTTGATGAAATCGTGAAGACCCAGCCTACATAAATAAAGTTTTTAATTTAATGTAAAATTTAAATCAATAAGTTGTCGGTAACTCAATGAGGGCTATCGTTTTTATACTTAACAGTTGGCACCCCTGGCGATTGACAGGACCTTACTCTACAGTGGCGCTAACTGGCGAGCGCTAAAACGATAGCCCTCATTGAATGATTGCGAGTTCTCGACCTGATGACGTCAGTCTCTATTTCGACACAAATCTATATGATTCGTTTTTTGATAATTCATAAAAGCCGCCAATCGACAACCCTATTAATGCTTTATCCTCTCAGGTGGCAGACGTTTCTCCGAAGGCACCAGCGCCGACAGAGAAATCCAGCGGACGCTCATGGAACTTCTCAACCAAATGGACGGCTTCGACTCCCTCGGCCAGGTATGTCGTACAGTTCACACCGCTGCAACTCCTGTGTAGCCAGGATCTACAGCTTGACCGCCAATAAAATTCAAATTCAAATTATTTATTTGTTCAAAAAATAGGGTAAATACATAAGTGGTGTTGGTATTTTTAGGGTTCCGTACCTCAAAAGGAAAAAACGGAACCCTTATAGGATCACTTTGTTGTCCGTCCGTCCGTCTGTCAAGACCCTTTTTCTCAGGAACGCGTGGAGGTATGAAACTGAAATTTATATCAATTACTCAGGTCTACTGTCCCTTGAAGCTGTGAAAAAATCAAACTTCTAAGCCAACGCAATCAAAAGATACAGCCGTTTATGCCGCAAATTTTCGACACTTGCAAGGGAATCAAAACCTACAGGGTGCTTCCCGTGAACTCAGAATCTTGAAATTTGGTACGAAGCAACGTCTTATAGCATAGATAAAGGAAAAATTACGAAAACCATAAATTTTTAGTTACATCACATAATATATTTTTTTTTAAATAATTTTAAACTTACTACCCATTTCCTCATAAACGCGTAGAGGTATTAAATTGAAATTCATCTATAATACCTTTAAGTTCTAACAAAATCAAACTTCTATGTAAACGCAATCAAAAGAAACAGCAATTTAAGCTGTATATTTTGAAACTCGCAAGTACTCGCAAGGGAATCAAAACCTAAAGGGTACTTCCAGTCGACCTAGAATCTTGAAATTTGGCATGAAGCAACGTTTTATAGCACACATATCGATTAATAATCGATCCGTGATCGATTATGCGACAACATTACTACTTAACTGGTAGAAATCCCCTTGAAACATGACTGTGTTCATGTCCTTTCTCTAAATGGTACCTAGGTATGGTCCTACGCTTATAATGTAGAACATGGTTTAAATAATATACCATTTGTTGACCCCACTCTTGAACTGTTGGACATAAAAGGAGATAAGTATATTAATTAATAATATTTTTTGTTTGCGCAATAAAGCACCTATTACTATTACACATTATGTCAATTTCCAAGCAAACCCGGGAGTTTTTGGTAGTTATTTATATGAAAATATATTTCTGATATTAAGTCCTAACAAATAATAGTAGTTACATTTCTGTTGGTTTTACGCCCAGATTCCATAGAAAAGTGCCCATCATCC